TATTATATCTTTAAATCTTACCAAATAAACCATCATACTTTGCCCTCACTTTTGGAGCAGCTACACCAAATCTGCTTCTACATATCTCTTCTATCATCATCTCGCCCCTGATGAGAACAATAGTTCATAATATAGAGTTAAAAATAAAAAATGAAATATCTTCCACCTCTTCTTGGTATTTTTTCACCCTTTAAGGTGTTTTTCCTTCAGTTTGGGAATCAATGGTTTAGATCAGCCGTTTTGTTGTTGTTGTTGCTGTTGTTGTTGTTTTGGCCAAATAGGAAGGGGGGCACAGAGAAGGGGGCCACAGATTGGAAACCATTCTTCACACATTACCTTATCAAAAAACCCAAGTATCTGTTAAATATCGGTGCAGCATGTATGCTGTCCCTAATATTGCTGTTTTTTGTAGCTCTGATGGTGTGATTTCTGAGATCTGCAACTGATTATAGTACTGCGTGAAGTATCTTCATATTGTTCCCAATGCCCCAATGATTATGGGGGCCACTGAACTGTGTTTCTTCCAGAGGTGAGATGTTTTGATTGTCAGGTCTCTGTACTTTGCTAATTTTTCTAATTCTTTTTATTATTATTATTAGTATCATCATCATCATCATCCTAATCCAAATTGTTTGGAAGTGTATTAAGAAAAAATGGCAGTCAAGTTTGAATGTAAACTCATGGAACATTTTTACAAGTCCTAAAAAAAGAGAGAGATAATGCATTTCTGAATTGTCCTAAGATTTCACTGAGAACATATGGTACATATTTTTAAGAAATGAGCAAGTCTGATCAAAAGTATACTTTATAAGACCACTGGTCATACTGGCTGGTGGACTCTGAGATTTGTAGTCTAAAACATGAGATTTTCCAAGGTCAGGAGAAATGTACTGTAATGGCAAATGAAGCCTCAACAGATGAGCCAATGATTTTTTTATGTTTTAAAAAATTCCTGGTCAACAATAGGGTAGAACTGGATAGGTACTTTGCCGACTTTTCTTTTTGGTATGCTACGAACAATCGTTCAGACAGCAATGCAGCTGTTTACAAAGCAACCATTGTACAAAGTCAGATGAACAGTTTCTGAGAAAACACAGGGAAGCAGAACACTAAAAATGTATCTTGTGACACTGTGTAGCAATGGAGCACACAGGGTTGATTTCTTTCTGCTTGATTTCATTCTTTCATGAAATTTGCCTGGTTGACAATATCTTGAATCATTTCTCCACCAGGCTTATTTGGAGTATTAAGGAAACAGCAAAAAATGGAAAACATTTGAACGGTGTCTGACTAGATAAGATTTGTTTTTAGGATGATGATTTTCATTCATAATAAAGGACTGTCTGAATAAGTCTGACAAATTAAATGAGGGTGCTTTACTTCAATGCAACTCCAGTGTTTCATTTAGATCAGCCCTCAAGCTGGTCTACATCGTTGTATTCCCATTGCTCCCACCGGCTTTTAGGTGGGGATGACTTACATGTGTCTCCCACCACAGTTGTAGCCCTACCTTTTTCAGGCTAGAACTTAACCCTATTCAGGCATTAAACAGGGCTGTAAATAGGGCAACGCTACTGGGACTTTGCCCCAGGGCAATAAAATATATAGTTTGCCACAGTCTATGGGGGAATCTATTGGTAAGTGTTGGGAAAATACTGGCAACACCTTGCTGCTCTGCTCATCCCACCCCCTTCTTTTTTTGGGAAAGCATACATTTCCTTTTTTGAAGGGAGCACCACATTATCCTCCTCCATTTTGAGGAAGGAGCATGTGCCCATGCCTCAGGGCAGACTGGGTGGGAAAGACTGTCATTTGCCCCAGGTGTCCAAATTGCTAGTTATAGCTCTGATGCTAAGCCTGAAAGCAAGGAGAATTAAATGTGCTATGCGGGATGGAAATGCACCTCTTCGCTTACTTGGAGGTAAAGCATTTCTTCACATATTCCACTTTGACCTTCTCATAGGTTCATCTTTGTGATCAGTTATCCTGATAAGACACAGCTTCCAAGTACATAAGTACCATGAGCGCAAATTCAGCTGAATTTTTGAATGAAATACGCAAAGGTCTCACTGAGGTCTTGGATGGCAAGGGGACACAGAAGGCTGGGACTTGTATGCATCTCCACCATTTAGCCCTATGCTGCTGTAACTCCTGAACAGAACTTGTCATCTTTGTGATCAGTTATCCTGATAAGACACAGCTTCCAAGTACATAAGTACCATGAGCGCAAATTCAGCTGAATTTTTGAATGAAATACGCAAAGGTCTCACTGAGGTCTTGGATGGCAAGGGGACACAGAAGGCTGGGACTTGTATGCATCTCCACCATTTAGCCCTATGCTGCTGTAACTCCTGAACAGAACTTGTGTGTACAAACACACACACACACACACACACACACACACACACACATACACACAGAAGGGGAGGTCAGACTAGGATAGGTTCCAACTCCTGACCAAGTTACTGTAATGGCTAAATCTATTTATTCTCTGTGGGGAATTCCCTCCCACCCACCCCCCGGAAATAAAAAGCTGATTTTACAAGACAAGTCTGTGGAATTTTACAGAAGTGGGAATTCTCCATATTTCCCCATGCTTTGAGATAAAGATTGCATTAGTCACTCCAGACAGTTCAAATTACGTACTAGTACACTGCTATGCAGAGCTGCTTCCTTGTCTGAAAGCAAACTTTTTTTGTTGCAGGAATTAGGCTGGCTTTCCCCAACACGGTGCCCTCCAGATGTGTTAGAAGGAAGGATGGGAATTGCAGTACAATATATCTGGATGTACTAGTTTGGGGCATGCAACACTAGGCAAGATTAAAATTGCCTTGTTTTTGCTTATTTTCTCTGTAAAACATGATGTCCTGTGATAGTATTTTGACAATAGATGATTGTGGGAAACTTCTGCTGAAAGGCTGTAGCTGCATTCCTGTCCTCTGAAGATGCCGGCCAGAGACTGGCCAAATGTTAGGAATAACATGGCCAAAGAGCCCGAAAAACCCACAACAACCATCAGATCCCAGCCATGAAAGCCTTCGAGA